GAGCCCAGTGGACACAGCGTCTTTAGTGCCAGTCAGGACAGACTTGGTGGTGTCCAGGCCCCCCTGGACGGCCCCTTTGGCCACATTCGCGGCACTGGTCACCCCACTGCAGACTGTATTCTTAGTGCCGGTCAGCACGGTCTTGGTGGTGTCCACCCCGGTCTGGACGGTCCCTTTGGCGACATTCACTGCCCCCATGAACCCGGTGGACACTGTGTCTTTTGTACCCATGACCACAGACTTAGTGGTGTCCAGGCCCCCCTGGACGGCCCCTTTGGCCACATTCACGGCACCGGTCACCCCACTACAGACGGTGTCCTTGGTACCAGTTAGGACAGTCTTGGTGGTGTCCACACCGGTCTGGACAGTCCCTTTGGCCAAGTTTGCAGCCCCTGTGAGCCCAGTGGACACAGCGTCTTTTGTGCCAGTCAGGACAGACTTGGTGGTGTCCAGGCCCCCCTGGACGGCCGCTTTGGCCACATTCGCGGCACCGGTCACCCCACCGCAGACGGTGTCCTTGGTGCCGGTTAGGACAGTCTTGGTGGTGTCCATGCCAGTCTGGACGGTCCCTTTGGCGACATTCACTGCCCCCATGAGCCCGGTAGTCACTGTGTCCTTAGTGCCGGTCAGCACGGTCTTGGCTGTGTCTACACCTGTCTGGACGGCCCCTTTCGCCACATTCACGGCACCGGTCACCCCACTGCCAAGGGTGTTCTTTGTACCTGTAGCGATATTTTGGGTCGTTTTCAGTCCAGTTTGCACAGCCCCCTTGGCCACGTTCACGGCACCGGTCACCCCACCGCAGACGGTGTCCTTGGTACCGGTCAGGACAGACTTGGTGGTGTCCACGCCAGTCTGGACGGCCCCTTTGGCCACATTCACGGCACCGGTCACCCCACTGCAGACGGTGTCCTTGGTACCGGTTAGGACAGTCTTGGTGGTGTCCATGCCGGTCTGGACAGTCCCTTTGGCCAAGTTTACAGCGCCTGTGAGCCCAGTGGACACAGCGGCTTTAGTGCCAGTCAGGACAGACTTGGTGGTGTCCAAGCCCCCCTGGACGGCCCCTTTGGCCACATTCGCGGCACCAGTCACCCCACCGCAGACAGTGTCCTTGGTGCCGGTTAGGACAGTCTTGGTGGTGTCCATGCCAGTCTGGACGGTCCCTTTGGCAACATTCACTGCTCCCATGAGCCCGGTAGTCACTGTGTCCTTGGTGCCAGTCAGCACGGTCTTGGCTGTGTCTACACCCGTCTGGACAGCCCCCTTGGCCACGTTCGCTGCCCCCGTGAGCCCGGTGGACACTGTGTCTTTCGTACCCATGACCACAGACTTGGTGGTGTCCAGGCCCCCCTGGACGGCCCCTTTGGCCACGTTCTCACGGCACCAGTGACCCCACTGCAGACGGTGTCCTTGGTACCGGTTAACACAGACTTGGTGGTGTCCAGGCCCCCCTGGACGGCCCCTTTGGCCACGTTCACAGCACCAGTGACCCCACTGCAGACGGTGTCCTTGGTACCGGTTAACACAGTCTTAGTGGTGTCCACACCGGTCTGGACAGTCGAGCCCAGTGGACACAGCGTCTTTAGTGCCAGTCAGGACAGACTTGGTGGTGTCCAGGCCCCCCTGGACGGCCCCTTTGGCCACATTCGCGGCACCGGTGACCCCACTGCAGACTGTATTCTTGGTGCCGGTCAGCACGGTCTTAGTGGTGTCCACGCCGGTCTGGACGGTCCCTTTGGCGACATTCACTGCCCCCATGAGCCCAGTAGTCACTGTGTCCTTGGTGCCGGTCAGCACGGTCTTGGCTGTGTCTACACCCGTCTGGACGGCTCCCTTGGCCACGTTTGCTGTCCCCATGAGCCCGGTGGACACAGCGTCTTTAGTGCCAGTCAGGACAGACTTGGTGGTGTCCAGGCCCCCCTGGACGGCCCCTTTGGCCACATTCACGGCACCGGTCACCCCACCGCAGACGGTGTCCTTGGTACCTGTTAGGACCGTCTTGGTGGTGTCCATGCCTGTCTGGATGGTTCCTCTGGCCAAGTTCATGGCACCAGTTACCCCACTACAGATGGTGTCCTTTGTACCTGCTGCGATATTTTGGGTTGTGTTCAGCCCAGTTTGCACGGCCCCCTTGGCCACGTTCGCTGCCCCCATGAACCCAGTGGACACTGTGTCTTTTGTACCCATGACCACAGACTTAGTGGTGTCCAGGCCCCCCTGGACGGCCCCTTTGGCCAAGTTCATGGCACCGGTCACCCCACTGCAGACGGTGTCCTTGGTACCAGTTAGGACAGTCTTGGTGGTGTCCACGCCGGTCTGGATGGTTCCTTTGGCCACGTTCATGGCACCGGTCACCCCACTACAGACGGTGTCCTTGGTACCTGTTAGGACAGCCTTACTAGTGTCCACACCGGTCTGAATGGTTCCTCTGGCCACATTCACTGCCCCCGTGAGCCCAGTGGACACAGCATCTTTAGTGCCAGTCAGCACAGCCTTGGAGGTGTCCACGCCGGTCTGGACAGTCCCTTTGGCCAAGTTCACTGCCCCCATGACCCCAGTAGTCACTGTGTCTTTGGTGCCGGTCAGCACAGTCTTGGTGGTGTCCACGCCGGCCTGTACGGTCCCTTTGGCCACATTCACTGCCCCCGTGAGCCCAGTGGACACCGTGTCCTTGGTGCCGGTGAGGACAGCCTTCGAGGTGTCCAGACCCCCTTGGACAGCCCCCTTAGCCATGTCCACAGCCCCCGTGACCCCGCTGGACACCACCTCCTTGGTGCCCGTGAGTGCAGACCGAGTGGTATCCAGGCCTCCCTGGACCACTCCCTTAGCCGCATCCACCACGCTGGCCATCCCGGAGGAGACAGCATCCTTGGCCCTGGACATCTTGGAACACACCAGGTCTTTGGCCCCGGACACCATTTGCTGAGAAAGGACACAGGTGATCAGAGAAGGACTGAGAGGCATACTCCACCCCGATGTCCGCCAGCCCAGCCCCCTCGTGTGCCTTGGGGCAAGGAACTGCAGCCACCCAGAGGCCCCCACCTTCTCAAAAAGCAAGCTGCTTCCTCACCCCAACCCTGGCCAACCACTCATCAGGCTGTAGGGTGGCACCCTGGCTCTCCAGGACAAAGTCCTCATGAGCTCACAGCACCAGCCTCTTCCATTCTCACGCGCCCCCTTCCCCTGCTGTAGGCAGGCCTCGTCCATGACAGCACGTCCCAGGCCTGGACTCAACCAAGGTCCCCAGGCCTGGACTCGGCGCAGGTCCTACAGTTACATCTCTGTTCCTCAAGCCCGGCGCGCGAATGGCTCAAGCCTGTAATTCCCAGAGCCAACATTTGGGAGGCTGAGACGGGTGGATCAACGAGGTTCAGGAGATCGGAACCCATACCTGAGCTAACACGGTGAACCCCGGTCCTATAAAAAATACAAAAAAAACCTAGCCCCAGGGTCGAGGTGGGCGGGCGCCCTGTATCCCAGCTACTACCGGGGAAGCTGAGGCCCCGTGGAGAATGGGCGTGAACCCGGGAGGCCGAGACTTCAGTGAGCTGAGAAATCCAAGCCACTGCCAACTCAGCCTGGGCGAACAGAGCCGAAGACCTGCCGTCCACCAAAAAAAAAAAAAAAAAAATGAAAAAAATCTCGTTCCTCCCTTGCTTATGTCTCCCATTCCAATGGCCAAAATGGTTGAGCCCCTTGTGCCGCTAGTGCGACACCCCCAAAATTGCTTTTCTAAAAATCATTATATCCAGGCTGGGTGTGATGGCTTGAATGCCTGCAATCCTAAGCACCGTTGGGTAGCCCCAAGGTGTAACAGGATCACGTTGAGCCCAGGAATTCAAGATCAGCCATGGTACACCAAACAAACCCAGTCTCCTACAAAATTTTAACGAATTG